GAGCAGATGGAAGAGGGGCTGCACAGCGGGCAGGCCATGGACTTGGCCTGCAATAACTATCACATGAAACAGTTCCTCGAGGCCCTGTTGCGCAACAGCTCGGCTCAGAGAAAGGAGGACGTGGTCCATCACTTTGTCCGGGGCTTTGAGGGTAGGCCAGAGGACGCAGGGGTGGCAGTGAGCTCCATGATGGACATTCACAGCGACTGGTATGGTGAGGACACAGGTGAGAGGACTCGGGGGTTGCAGTCTGTAGGATGGAGGAGGCAACCACCAAGTGTGCGACTTCCTTTGTTACTCTCGTTCTTGTGCAGGAATATATTGCTGAATATTATGCCATAGCAAAATAAACTATTGTTCTGGACTCCCAAAGAGCTGTACTCCTTTATTCAGTGCAGCACTTGGCAGGTAAGTATTTCTGATGGCCCTTCCAGTCTCTCTGAGGCAGATGCTGGAGTTCAGTGTTGGTGGTAATGCTTTAATAAATGATCTCAGTCGGGACCTGGTTGAAAGGATCGTGAAAAGACTCTTCCTCTCGTAACATTAGTGCTATAAAGAGCGATCAGGAAGATGAGTTGAGCTGCCACAAGAGGGATCTGCTGCAGAACTGACAGAGCACAAGTAGCTCGTTCCACCAGAGCTCCTGCCAGCGCATCAGCTGCTGGTGCTTTGAACTTCAGAAGGGCAGAAATCGGGTTTATTCAACACTGGGTGATGCCCAGGAATTCTTTAAGAGCACTGAAAGCTTTAAACTCTCTGCTATTGCAGAAAGGCAAGACTTAATTTTTACCTCGAGAGGCAGATTGGCTTTTTAACCGGGCACACGAGGTCCTGCTGCCTCCCGAGCCCCATGCCTGCAGGGATGGCTCACACTGGCAGGGGTATCTCCCAGCAGCAGTGTCAGGGAGCTGGAGAAGAGGAAGATCACGTCAAAACGAGTTTCTCCTGAAGTGGACAATAAGGATTTAGGCATTTTAGTTGCTTACAAAGATGGAGGCGGCTCTGACGGGCACTGCAAGTGTCATCACTGGTCAGGATGTGACAGGAGTGGGCTGGGCACCAGGCAGGAAACCTTTCCCCGAGTATTCGACTCTTAGATAGCAAGTACACTCCCATCACTTCCAGCTTAAGTGTGCATGTGTGATCTTAAAGCCAATAAACCCAATATGTTGTCTTACTGCTTTAAACGAAGGCATCTGATAACATCACAAGTCACTAAAGGACGAAGGTGGCCAGGACAGAGCCCCGTCACCACATTGTGCCTGGGGGTGGGGTTGTGTAGCGAGGCAAGAGCATCTAACACAGAACTCACTTTTTTTCCTCTCTTTAAGTCTTCAGACCGTTAATGGCTCATTAAAAGGGTGGTGTTTATAGAATTTCATAGAATCAGGTGGTGCGAGAGGAAATTGAGTGGTTGATGCGCTTTAAACTGGAGCGGGGAAGCCCTCAAACCTGCCATAGGTCTGTTCCTCTGCTAAAACCAAGCATCAAGGATGTTTAGTGGAATGGGAGTATCTGTCCTCAGCTTTCAGTGCTCCTGCTGTCTTAGTGTTCTCAGAAGACACCAGGAATGAGAAATACAAAGTTGAAATGAGATAAATACCAGTTATTTTCATGTGTCCACAACCATTCCAGGCATCCTGGTTTCCTGTGAAGGGAGGGGGAACAGGCACCTTGGGTGAGTCTGGAGCAAGGCAGGAGTAGGAACTGGGTTTCTTGTTTGTTAAGCAGAGGTCTAACCACCCAGCAGGGATTAGCAACACCTTGTGAAGGTCCAGAATCAGGTGAGATGAATTACACTCACATGTTACTACATTTGGAGGCTCCTTTTGGGGCTGGGTTAGACAAACCTCAGTGTTCCACAGCCTGCTGTAACTGTTACAGAGCTCAAGGTTCAATACACAAACCCTTCCCTGAGTCAGCACCTGTAACAGGGAAAACTGATCTTGTAGTATAACATCCCAGCCTTATGCTGGAGCTCGTGCCTGGGCTGCTGCTGAAAAACTCTGCAATACCCATGTTTATGGAAAATGTGATCTTCAATTTTAATCCTCTCTTTTTTGCCTGACTTCATAAATTACATATTACTTGTGTTCATAGAGTTTAGTTTCAGGAGCAGTAAAATATCCTCAGGAAATGTATTGGAGCCCTTCACCTTGTTACTACCAGTAGAAAGGCTGAAGTGACCGGCGGTAGAAACAAGCATTCCTGTTTTCAGGTGGGCTCCCCACACCTCAGTTTAGGCACTTTGTCAAAGCACATGAGAATATTGTGCTGCTACTACCTGTAATTTGTGTTAAAGATTTTAGGGTTTAATGCTGCTTAATGCTAATGGTATCTTAAAAAGAAAGTGGGAGACTTTGACAGTGGGGATAGTGCAGAGACCCCACTGCACTAAAGGCAAATGTTTGGTACTTAATTAAATGGCTTCTTAAAAGCAGATGAACATGTTGAGAACCAACTCCCTCAGAGCAGCAGCTGTGTAAGTACAGGCAGGCTGAGCTTTCAGGGATGCCATCACCTGCAGCTGTGTTAATGTCTTCTGGAATTGCACAACCTGCAGCAATCCCAGGTAAGGGAAATGTGGAGAGAGGGGGCAGTGGGGTTGTCTCGACTCAGGTTTGCAGCGGGGAGGACAAGGAGCTACCTCTGGAGGTCTGCCTCACCTAACGCAGTGTGTTTCTTCCCCAAAGGTGACGTGTTAGTGGTGCCCATCAAGCTTCACAAGTGCCCGTTCTGCCCCTACACAGCGAAGCAGAAGGGAATCCTGAAGCGGCACATCCGCTCCCACACGGGTGAGCGGCCTTACCCCTGCGAGACCTGCGGGAAGCGCTTCACGCGCCAGGAGCACCTCCGGAGTCACGCCTTGAGTGTAAGTGGGAAAGATTCTGTCTCTCGGGGAGTTTTGGCAAGGTCTTGGTGTGTCCCGAGTTCCCGAAACGTGTTGGACAAAGTGGTTGTTGCTGATGTGAGATGAGCATTTCTAGCTATAAGTAATAATAGTAATAATGCGAAGTGCAAGGTCCTGTCCCTGGTTCGGGGCAATCCCAGGCACAGCTACAGGTTGGGTGGAGAAGTGGTTCAGAGCAGCCTGAGGAGAAGGACTTGGGGGTGTTGATCAGTTTGAAACTGAACCTGAGCCAGCTTCAGTGTGCGCTTGAGCCCAGAAACCAACCACGTCCTGGGCTGCATCAAAAGGAGCGTGAACTGCATGTTCAAGGAGGGGATCCTGCCCCTCTGCTCTGCTCTCCTGAGACCACACTTGCAGC